GATGATGATGATGATCTTCTTCTTCTTTACCATGGTCAGCGAACCCGGCCGGCAAAGTTCTCAACACCAAGAAGCAGGCTAGGTAAGGCAAAAGCGACAAGACCTCGACCTCAAGCACCAAACCTCCGAATCCCTACATTTCCTCAAAAGACTGCAGCTAAGCAGCTTGATCCCCTCCAGGTCCACCAAAGGCACGCCGGAAAGGCGCTCCATTGTCAGCACGCGCTTGGACCTGGGAGGCACAGGATTTGGCACCAGGGAGCGGGGGCGGGTTCTGAGGGACGACTCAGGGTTGCTTGTAAGTCTGAGGGATCAAAGTTCCAGGGCCCAAGCGGTTGGCCCCAGCAGTTGAGATTAGGAAATTATCCAAAAGCAATCCACCACAATAGCAAAATTTCTCTGCAAACTCTCTCGTTGCTTGTTGCCCGGGGCACCGGCGAAGCTTCTGGGTAGGGCTTCGGTGCGACCTCAGCTCCCGATGCAAAGGTGGGCTCGGGAAATCCGTATGGTATACTGACGTGGAACCCGACAAATTGAATAGACGGTTGAAGCCAGAAGCACGGGAATTCGCGAAACTTAAGCTGTTCATCTAGCAGCAAAACGAGAGGAGCATAACTGAGGCTGGGCTCTCGGGGTGCGCAGCTCTACTCCACCCCGCCCTGAAGTCAAACCTAGTGGCGGTGGTGTCGAAACTTGCAGGCGCCGAGACGGGTGCAAAACCTCTGGAAGTGGCTGCATTACTGCATGCTCGCCATGCTCAATCCCTCAGCATCGTTGCTAAGTGGCCACTGCTTCTTTCGCAAGCCCTTGGAAAGCCTCCTCATGCCCCATAGCCAGCCCGAGCTTCCTGCGGCGATGGCCGTCAAGCCATTCTCATCGAGGAAATCTCTGTAAACGTCCAGGTTCTGCTGCTCCTGCAATAAGTTCACAATGAGGGTGAGATGGTGTCAGATGCCGAAATGCCGCGAAAACTGCACAGCGGGCGTGAGGGAAGGAAGCTGGCGCTCCTCTCGGAAATCAAGCTCTCCGAGCATGGACTGCCGCAGGTCGGAGGCGATGTCCTGACCCGAAATGTGGGCCATGTCGGACTCCCGAGAAGTTCAGTAGACAGAGAATCTGGGATGTTTTGTGGCGTATTGGTTTTAAGAGCAGGTGGCAGACATCATGTGTCCCACCCCAGGCCACAATCCGGGGCACAGTCTGAAAGAGTCATCTGACCTGTCTTGCAGCCATGCTGCTGCCAGCGACCCGCGGATGTTCAGGTCCGGATTGATAAACCTTAGGACAGCTGAATGTCGCAAAGACACGACCTACGTCTTGAACGCCCACTGCGGACTGCGGTGCCTGTGTTAGTTCTATCTCGTTGCCTTCTGTCCCACGAAGAGGTACACCCACAGTTCAGGAATTGAGGGTGTGAATGCCAATCGCCATCGTGTCGCAAATGACAGTTGCTAGCTCTCCAAAAAGATGCTCTGTCAATGGTATTTATGGCATAGCACTCTGGAACGAACGACTATGGCACTATGCGGCGACGATTGTTACATATCCTTACTCCGCGAACCCACGCCGGATTTAAACGACGTGGTGACGGGATTTGCACTTTATGGTTTGGGGTAAAGGGTTTAGTGTCAGGTTTGTGGCTCGGGAAGAGAGAGAACTGGAATAACAGAAAGATCAGCGTGGACTTGCAAAACAAAACGATAATTGTCGCAGCAAGCAACTGTAACCGTGAAGCATTAGCCATCGGAACAGTGGCGGCAATGGCGCTGATACAGGATACGACTCAGCCATGATGAGAGGAAAACTAACTAGCACGCATCCTTGCAAGGGGCAAGTATGACAGGTGCTGATTGGCTCGTCAGCCGTTGAGGCTGTGGCTCCAAGATCCTCGCAGCTAGGTAGACGACGCCTGGGCCGAGCAAAAGTTGACCGCATGTTGTCACGTCATCGATCATGCTGCCCAAAGTCAGGAGCCATTACTGTCAACGAAACTGCGATGCCGGCAAAGCTGTTTTAAGATAAGTACAGCACTACTTCCTGAAAGGCTGACTGTTCCCTGATCCCATATAGGTCTGTGCCCCGTGCCAAGGTCTGTCTTCAGCACCTCCTCGATGCCAGGCTTCTGCACCTGCAGCACTTTGGCATCATTCCTTCATCATATCCGGAGATCAACTAACCCGCAAGGCACAAGCATGTCCGCATGCCCCAATTCCAACACACACCACCGCCATCTAGGGAGATTCTAGTTCTCTGATGTGGTATGCAAGCCTTGACCACCACTTCGCTGCCGTCACGCAGACGGCCCGTGTGGACCTGAGCGATTGAAGCCGACGCCTGGCATTCGATGGGGGCGCTGAGCTCTGGGATCTACCATGCCGCACAGAACGTGTATACGCTTCGGTGGAAAAACAACTCTGCATATGTATTGGAACAGAATGTGTTCGCACCAAAATCCATACCTCATACCAATAATAACAACTAGTAGGGTTTCTCTGACACGGTAGGGTGTATCAGGAGTCCATAGCATGCCACACTATATTGCGCTGCGTGTTGGCTCTTATCAACGCCATTCTCGCTCTCAACAGTAGTAGTAGCAGTAGTACTAGTCGTCGTAGTAGAAGCACTAGTAGACACAGCGGCAGCAAAGTGTGTGCTGCTGGTGGCACTGTGTACATACACACATACGTGCAGAATATTTCTCACAGAGAGGGACAGAGAGCTAAAAGTTATACATGCATACATACATCCATGCATGCATGCATGCGTACATACATATGCAGATGTTTGTACATATATATATATATATATATATATGTATAAAGCATGGGGGACACTACTACTTAAGCTATTCTTCGTTCTAACTGGTATAGTGTGCTGTATCATCGTCCATTTCTCACTCCAAGCTAGGCAGTGTCACGAGGGGTGTCGGATCTACGTAGGCGAAGACGTCACGCAGCGGCCGTCCCAGCCTTTGGATGCACGAAGCTTCAGGGTTTAGTTTGTGGCGCTAAGGATTAAAAGTTTAAGGCTTATAGGGCTTAGAGATGGCTAGCTGCCGTTACCTTCCCGTCTGTGACGGTCGGGAGAAGAAAACTTTGAACTTCTTCCCGGCAATTCTGCGGAGGCTGCTTGCCTCCGGCGATTGCTAGACGATGAGGGCTTTGTAAACACTCGTCCGAGATCTGCATGAAAGGCTGCCGAGTGGGCTTCCTTACCCGCAGCCCAGTGCTACAACCTCGATGACTGCGCGGTCTGAGACCAACACTCCCGCTCGATGATGCGTTTGACCTGCGGGTCCCACGGTGTGGGCTTGCCAACAACTGGAACGGCCAACTTACGAAAGGTGGTCGCTGAGGATCGCTATTAGGGTTGTGTACATGAACTGACGATGCAAATACGTGCCGAATGCTTCCTCGAAAAGCAAACGCTCAACCCGAGAACCCTGCCTCTACGAAGGACACGGTACTCGTGGAGTCCAGGCCTCAGGCTCAGCGGACATCGCGCAAAGTCACGGGCCGTTAGACCGCCATTTGACACATGGTGCCTTTAAGGGGTTGTACGACCTAGGAATGGGACATCCCATCTACCAGATCGCGTTGATTTGGGGACCCGGATGCCTCAAGACTTCCGCTCTCCCGCACCACACAGTCCTTTGAAAATGCCTCCTGACACAGCTTTTACATCCAGGGTCAGGTCCTGCTGGCAGGGCCACCTGAAACCAAGGCCCTGCTGCAATGCATGTTTTTTCACGGGTGATGGGTCGTGCAGAATTTCCGGGTGTCCACGATATTGTATGTATGTGTGATATAATACATTGATACATTATGTATGTATACATATATATATAGAGAGAGAGAGAGGTACATACATATAACATATTTACAGGCACACACGCACGCACTGTCTGCCCGTCCGTCCGCCTGCCTGCATGCCTTGCTGTCTGTCTGTCTGTCTGTCTGTCTGTCTGTCTGTCTGTCTGTCTGTCTGTCTGTCTGTCTGTCTGTCTCCCTGTCTCCCCGTCTCCCTGTCTGCCTGTCGGTCCGTCCCTCTGTCCGTCTGTCCGTCTGTCTGTCTGTCCGTCTGTCTGTCTGTCTGTCTGTATGTTTGTCTGTATGTATGTATGTATGTCTGTATGTATGTATGTATGTGTGTGT